CATTTGTGTGGAGTCTATGACTTGGTAGCTGAAGAGCCTACCAATCGCTATCCATTCCATTTCATAAGTTTTTCAAATTTAGTGTCAGACTTGAGATCACAACCATCCAATGGACTCATAATGATTCTGCTTCCTTGCTTACGCATGAAGTAAATATAAATAGCCCCTGTCTCACAGGATATAAACACTGTTTATTTAGGATGTACAGTGCCAGAATCTTTTAGAGAACAAATGACTAGCTTTTAATTAAAGGAGGAGAAGTAACAAGTTCTTCTGATCAGACCAAGTGTCCTAAAATTTAAGTACATTTAAATGCATACCTCTCAAACTAGGTATCAGTTCTGCCAATGGTTAGTGAAGGAAATCAGACCTGAGATAGATTTGTATGAGGTGTTATGTCCAGATTGTTCCTATAGAGAAATCAATGGGAATAAACAAGGGAAAACTCATCCAAAGATGCGTTTAAGAAAAATAAGATACTGTGTCAGTGAACTGCTTTGGCCAGATAAAACAAGGCCTGCATGGGGTCTGCACTGAGGGAAATCCAATAAATTTTAACACTGAAAGAGTACCCATTGGAACTGGAGCCTTAACCTCAATTTTCTTTAATTTTTTAACGTTTATTCATTTTTGGGAGACAGAGCGTGAGCAGAGGAGGGGCAGAGAGAGAGGGAGACACAGAATGCAAAACAGGCTCCATGCTCTGAGCTGTCAGCACAGAGCCCAATGCAAGTCTTGAAATCATGAACCACGAGATCATGACCTGAGCCGAAGTCAGACACTTAACCAACTGAACCACCCAGGCGCCCCCTTAACCTCAATTTTCATGTCAATGAAAAATTCTTTTCTCAGACAATAGGGGAAAGGATCGACTCCGCTAGCCAGAAAGAAACCCTGAGTCAGGGAGTCGAGCTTACTAAAATTCTCCATGTCAAGGAAGAGAGGCAAAGAAATCACTGTAAACTCTATGAGAAAGAGAGAAAGATGTATGTATTTTTCAGCAAGTATTTGGCACCTAAACACCAGGCACTGAGGTTAGAAAAACGAAAAAAACAAAACCACTGTTTCCGTGGAGCTTACGCTCCCGTGGGGGTAGAAAATAAAATTCATGTCATATTATGTGGTAGTAAGCGCTCAAAAGAAAAACTAGTGACTGAAAGGGAGTGTTGACGGGGGTGGTCAGGGAAGGCTATACTAGGAGGTAACATAATGAGTGTTTCTGGCCTAGTGTGCTTGGGAGTACACTTGATGGACCAGAATAGGGTTCAGCCCAAGAAATCAAATGGTTTGGAATAACCATATTAATCATGAACTTGCAGTTGTGACTTCAGAGTTGTTCTTCAGAGACAGTGACATAACCTATAAGAGCAAAGTTCAAGAAAGTAATGTATATTTTCCCAGTTAGATAAAAGCATACCTTCAAGAAAATCTCTCTGTGAAATGTTCCTAAAATAACAAAGGGCTAAAAAGGTATAAACCCACAAGGACAAATATTAAAAGAAACAAGGACAGACAAGAAATGTCAACAGGGGCACCTAGATGACTCGGTCAGTTAGGTGTTTAAGTGTCCGACTCTGGATTTTGGCTCAGATCATGATCTCATGATTGGGAGATCACCCCTGGGCTCCACGCCCAGCATGGAGCCTGCTTAAGATTCTTTCTCTCTCCTTCTCCTTCTGCCCCTCTCCCCCATGTACATGCTGGTGCAGGCATGGTCTCTCTCTCTCTCTCTCTCAAAAAAAAAAAAAGTCAACAAAAGATAAAACACAAACAACTGAGGAGCTTTACATAGCACAATAAAAATTTTTTAAGTTTATTTATTTATTTTGAGAGAAAGAACCAGCGGGGGAGGAGTTGGGAGGCAGAGGATCCGAAGCAGGCTCTGTGCTAACAACAGAAACCCTGAAGTGGGACTCGAACTCATGAACCTAAAGATCATGACCTGAGCCAAAGTCAGAGGCTTAACCGACTGAGCCACCCAGGCGCACCATAACACAAAAATTTTTATGTGAGAAATACCATCTTAAAAGAGTCCATGGCAGGATGTAAGGAAAGACAAACCTAATGGAGAACAATACTGCCAAGCATCTGAAGCTAGATCAAAATGCTGCAGGAAAAATGTAGAGCCTATCCTGAAAAGAACAGAAAGAAAACCCTATAAGAGGATTTTTAAAAATGGGTCACTGTTGGGGCGCCTGGGTGGCTTAGTCGGTTAAGCGTCCGACTTTCGCTTAGGTCATGATCTCGCGGTTCGTGGGTTTGAGCCCCGCATCGGGCTCTGTGCTGACTGCCAGCTCAGAGCCTGAAGTCTGTTTCAGAGTCTGTATCTCCCTCTCTCTCTGACCCTTCCCTGCTCACGCTGTTTCTCTCTCTCTCCTAGAAATAAATAAAAATAAACTAAATAAAATTTAAAAAAAAAAAAATTGGGTCACTGCCACACAGATAAGCAAGAGCCCTCCAGCCCAAGGGCTACCAGTCTTGACAGTAAATTAACAGGAGGAAGTAGCAGAGAGAGTAAATCAGCTGCCAGAACTAGACTCACTTCAAAGGGGGTATGGGAATGTGTGAAATAGGTGATGGGGATTAAGAAGTGCACTTGTGATAAGCACTGGGTATTGTATGGAAGCATTGTATATTTACACCTGAAACTAATATTACACTGCATGTTAACTAAAGGGTAAATTTAAAATAAAAGCTCCTGGGGAGCCTGGATGGTTCAGTTGGTTGAGTGAACGACTCTTGATTTTGGCTCAGATCATTATCTCACAGTTCGTGAGTTCGAACCCCGTGTTGGGCTTGGCACTATGCAGAGCCTTCTTGGGATTCTCTCTCTCCTTCTCTCTCTGCCCCTTCCTTGCTCTCTCTCAAAATAAGTAAACATTTTAATGTAAATAAATAAAATAAAAACTTCTTACATGCTACACCTGCTGATCACCAAAAGCCTAAGCTAAAAACAAAGATAACTACAGTAAATTTAGCTTTGTCTGGGACCCTACATATAGAATGGAGGAAGGGGATAAGGATGGGGACACTTCTTCTCTCTTAGTCATACATAAATTTCAAAAGCAGAGAAAAAAACTGAGAAGTTGAGCATAAGCATCCCTTAAAGTATAACCAGTGAACATGACTTCTCCAACAGGTCTCAAAATCTAAGACATCTAGGTGCTGCAAAATCTTCCCTAAGATAGTCTAAAAAATAAGCAAAAAGCTCTTTCCGTTCTGAAAGATCAGGATTACCCTACTTTTCTACCATTCACTCCTCCTTTCTATAGAAGACAACAATTTCCTCCAAACGCTGAATACAAATAAAAAGAGTAATGCTAAAGAAAGGCTCTATTTAGTGGCTAAAATGAGCAAATCAGAGAACTCTAGATGCTGGCGAGGATGTGGAGAAATGGGCACCCTCCTACACTGTTGGCGGGAATGTCAACTGGTGCAGCCCCTCTGGAAAACAGTGTGGAGGCTCCTCAAAAAATTAACAATAGAACTCCCCTAGGACCCAGAAATAGCACTGCTAGGAATTTACCCAAGGGATATAGGAGTGCTGATGCATAGGAGCACATGTACCCCAATGTTCACAGCAGCACTCTCAATAATAGCCAAAACATGGAAAGAGCCTAAGTGTCCATCAATGGACAAATGGATCAAGAAGATGTGGTTTATCTATACGATGGAATATGAGAAATGGCAATGAGAAAGAATGAAATCTGGCCATGTGTAGCAACATGGATGGACCTTGAGGGTGTTATGCTGAGTGAAATAAGTCAGGCAGAAAGGGACAAACACCCTATGTTTGCACGTATAGGAGGATTAGGAGGAACTTAATGGGGGACCTTGGGGAGAAGAAGGGGGGAAACAGTTGGGGGGGGAGAGGCAAACCATGAGACTCTTAAATGCTGAGAACAAACTGAGGACTGATGGGTGTGGGGGGGGAGGGGGGACATGGGCATTGAGGAAGGCACTTGTGGGCATGAGCACTGGGTACCATATGGAAAGCAACTTGACAATAAACTATTTGTTAAAAAAATAAAATAAAAAATAAAAAGGCACTGTGCTCTGGCAAAAGAAAAAAAAAAAAAAGGAAGGCTCTATTTAAAAGGTAGGGAGAAGAACACTTCCCTATCTTTTACTACACCTGTTGCATTTATTTTAACAGGCTGTTGTAAAGATAAAATAAGGTATGTATCAAAGTCCCTTGTAAAGATATTTTTTAAATCAAGTTCAAAAGAACTAAACATCTTCATGTTTCAAGAGTTCAATAAAGATTGTATTCAAGTTTCACATTTGCTCACTTATTTTTTGCCCTCTATAAAATTACTGAGAAATACTTAAAAATTAAAGATAGAAATGCTAGAGAGAGCAGAAACTAACATAAACACAGAGGTAACTGTAACAAAAAGATTTCTCATAAATACCATCCCAAATTTTTTTAAGTAGGCTTCATGTCCAGCACAGAGCCCCACATGGGACTTCAATTCACGACTCTGAGATCAAGACCTGAGCTGAGATCAAGTCAGGCGCTAGGGACGCCTGGGTGGCTCAGTTGGTTAAGCATCGGACTCTTGCTATTTGGTCAGGTCAGGATCTCACGGTTCGTGAGTTCAAGCCCCAAGTCAGGCTCCACGCTGTCAGGGCAGAGCCTACTTGGGATTCTCTCTCCCTCTCTCTGTCCCCCACCCCAGCACTCACACATACACACACTCTCTCCCTCTCTCTCTCTCTCTCAAAATAAATAAATGTAAAAAAGATTCTTTAAGAAAATAAAGTCAGAGGCTTAACCAACTGAGCCACCCAGGCACCCCAATATCATTCCAAATTTTGTTAATTATTGATAAAATCTTAAAAGTACAAGCTAGACACTTCTCTCATTTCTTAATTGAAAAAAAGACACCTATAGGGTATGCACTCACTTTGTCTTTTTGGATATTCTCCAACAGGTAAAAATAAACAAAAACAAAAAACCATATCTTAGTAACACATAGTATATATATTTGTCTTACCTATTAAAGATTTTATATTTTCTAAGATTAAATCACTAGTAATATTTCCAGATAAATCTTGCCCCAATTCAGCAATCAGCTTGGCATAACCTTCATTCTCTTCTCTTAATAAGTTGAATTTTTGCTGCTTATAACTGAAATTAGATAAACATCATAAAGGGGATAAAATTAATTCAATTAAAAAGTACTATATTCTTCTCATTGAATTTTATCTCTCTTATATACAATTATAATGGTTGTTGAAAGTTTACTTCTTTGTGTAGCTTTTAAAATAAAAATTAACAATGGTTCACAAGACACCCCAATGTTAAATACAAGAGACAGCCCAATGTTAATGACATAGGGAAAACCAGTAACACAAAGAAAAAATATTGCTAATCTCAAGAACAATAACATAACACTATTTCCATCAGTAAGATATACTAGAGTATATCTATAGTTGTAAATTATTTTATTGATAATAATAAAAGCACAGAGTATTATTTTAACTTCTAATATGGAGAAAAAGTAACATTGGTTTCATACAGGTAGAGTTTACTCTGACTCCATAATCATAGGCTACTTTTAAAAGGAAAAAAACACAAGACATGCTAACAGCAACAAAAAAAATCTTCAAACTGCCTTTAGACACTTCTGGTATTCAAATTGAGAACTAATAAACCATACTGAGATACTTGAGCTGCAACATAAAGACACATGTACTTACAAGAGCTTTGTCTTGATTTTAACTGACTTTTGATTGAACTGCTGTGATTGTTTAATAAGCCCTAATGATTCCAATGTTTCTGGATCCAGGCGTTCCTTTAGAACTGTGTCTGAAACTAAATACTGTATTAAAAAATATTAAATGTCATTTATTCCTTAGCATTCCAATGCATATACAATCTTAAATATATTGAAAATAACTTTCCCAAACAAGATTAAAATTACATTAAATATATATCAACAACTTTTAATTTACATAATAAAAAAAGCTTGGAATTTCAATTAAACCAAAAGGATGACTCCCGAAATACTGAAAACTGCCATATAGCTCTTTTTAAAAATCTCACTAAAAAATTATATGCATGCTGTACATAGCCTACAAATAATAAGAACTACAGATGAAATTCCGATTAAAGCTGAGTCAGTCAACTGAATTTTTCTTTAAGATTAATATAGCGCTCCAGCCTTCTTTAGTTTCTACTGTTTAAGTCAAATTCAGGTACAGCAAAGACAAGGACAGTCTTCCAGGTATGGTTAATAGCATTTCTCCTTGGTTCTATATTTATTAACATAAAATGGTTTACTAGACAATGATTATGACAAGTTCTAGAATTTATTATTTTTAAACTACCTCCATTCTTTTTCTCCTTGCCTAATAGTTTATAAAAAACTGTTCAGTTTAAAAGCTGTCCACATTTCTACATACTTTACCTTTTTCTTTATTTAGGAACTTACTAGGTCATGAATATCACCAAAAGTTTAAAATATACAGATAGTTTAAGTGATATGAAGCATGCATATTTCATAGAAATAATCAGCAGGTCTAATTTTACAAAGCATTCCATTCCAAAATCCAAATCTCACCTTATAATGAATGAATAGCCAAGGGAATGTCAATATCGTCCTCCATTAACATGATTAACTAGGATTACAATTGTTCAATGCAAAAATCTAGAAAGGGAAAGTATTTTTTATAACTTACCAAACATGCTAATACCAATTGTGTAAAATAGTCTCTCTTGCTTTTTTCTTCTAAACAATTTGTCTCAATATCTATAATGATGGAAGGAAAAAAAACACAAAAGTTTGATTTTTCTGTGCTCTTTCCAGCACTATAATAGGATACTTAATTTCTTTAAAACTAGCTAATTTTTAAACCCCTCATTCTGAATTTGGGGGAAAAAAGTACAAATCTAGTAAGCATGAGCTGTCGTTCATATGCATATGAATGCTTAGAATTAATTTCTCCTCATGCTGGAGACTGACCCTGTGACAAATGGCATATCCATAAAACGGTAAGTTGATTACACAGGAGCTACATATATGCTATGGCACTAGAAGCAACAAAACTTCGAAAAACTAATGTTCCCAAAAATGGAAATATTCAAGCAAATTTTAAATGGCCACACATCCGAGATACTAAAGAAGAGACAGTTCTTTAGGTAGAAAGTTGAACTGGGTGAGAACAAAGATCCCTTCTAACACTAAAGATCCTATTACTTGTGAAGATCAAACCCCTGATTCTGGCCACCTTCGTACCATGTACCACATTATCTAACCAAGCTACCTGGCCATCAACTCTATGAAGAGACAGTATTAAAAGAATATTTTTAACATCCTATTTTGAATTACAATTCTGGTCAGCAAATAAAAATTTATTCATGACTTTTATTTTCTTCCTACTGAAATATTTAAAAACTTGAGACCTCCCTGAGTTTCAGTAAGTTATTCAGAAAATTTGTCAAACAATTTCATGATGTAGGAAATAAAACAGTTCTTAATACCAAGCATCAAAAAATTCAACCAGGATTGACAGGATTACAAGGCTGATCTCAGGATTATTGCTTTAACTGATTACATACTATTATATTAAGGCCAACTCCTGATTTAGAAGAGGCACCAATTTTAGATCTGTAACAAAATTGTCTTCTAAGAGTTCTACAGTTCTCCCCAACGTCCTACCACTGCTTTGCTTCAGTTTACTTTCTATTGCCATCCCTGAGAATCAAAACAGAAAGGATTTTCTCATCAAACATATCCATTCTCCTGGCCCTTCTCTCCTTTCCTTTCTTTGATAGTGCCATTTCCCAGTATCCTGGCCACTGTAGCTAAGCTCAGCTCAAGCCTATTAAGAGAATTTCAGGGTATAATTTATACACTGTAAACTGTAATACAATTTCCTTCTCTCAATAAGACTTTTAACCCATGTGGATCTCATCAATCCCTTCCAGAGGCTCCTAGCTGTCTCCCTTTCTGGTCTTCTGGTCCCTTCTCAGCCTGGAACTTCAAGAATATAAATCTTGAGGGGTCAGTACTAAACTGGGCCCATTCTTTTAACCAACATCTACCTACCAAGGCCCAAAAGTCCCTAAGATCTATCCCCAAAGTCCCTAAGATCAGAGCACCTGGGTAGCAGGTTCATCCTTTTTCAAGTCTGCTCTCCTCTTAGCTACCTGACCTGATCAAAATACCACTCTCTGGGTTCTGTCCATGTTGAGAAATCCTTAATAGGATCTCAGTAAACTTTTCTGCTGAGCTATCTCAACAATCAATAAAGGACTCTATTATCACAAGTATGCCTTCCTTGTTTTCTTTATGTCCTAACTTATGAAACTACTCTAATAAATTCATTCATTATCCTTGACTCATCAACCCTGAGTCAGTGTCTAGTAAATTCTCTTTAATTTCCCCTATGATTTTACTAAAAAGCCCTCAACCATTTCCAACTTTAGGCCCCAGGATCACCACTCAGTGCATCAATTTTACATCAGACTTCCCCTTCTAGGTTAATATAACTCTCAGGCTCCCTCATCCTTACATAAGTAGTCTTTTGAAGGAAGTTGCTATCTTAACCAGGAAAGTACAGCACTGATTTCTCTTGTAACTGTTAAAATATTAGAAAGACAACATGATATAGTCAAAAGATTATGGTCTCTGGAACCAAAAAGACCCAGGTTCAAACCCTGCCTTACTGGCTAAGTGGCCTTGAAAAACCCCTTCTCTGAACTTCAATTTTCTGATCTGTACATTTATCTTACAGAAGTTGCTATGAAGATTAAAAAGAAACTAAATGTATAACATAATGCTTAAAACATAGAAAGTGCTCCAAAAATGGCATCTACGTTATTATTACCATCATCGCTATTACAGGTGGCTCCCATTCATACTCCTATTCCCCTAGTTTGGTCTGAGGTCATCCTTGGATCTTTTTTTTTTTTTTTTCTGCTAAGGGTGGGAGTGGGTGAGTGAGAGGACAAGTGAGGGAAATTCTCTTTCCAAGTCTGCCATTCTAATCTTGCTTGTAAAAATTGATAGGCTAAAAGAAATTTCCCAAGAGAAACCAAACATCCCCGAAAATTCATGTTATCAGCAAAAAGCAACGACTTGTAACAATAATTCATATTACTAAATAACTATGAAGGGAAAATATATCCTACTAAAATAAACCAATAAAGAAATTATTAGAACTTACTAGTAAGCTAACTGATGATTACCCAAAGAAAGACATAAAACATACTCCTGGCACTATCAAGGAACAACAGCTTCCACAAAATGTTACTTACAAATCATTCTTTCGGTCCTACAAATTTATAGTAAAAAGAATTTTTTTTAATTTTTTTAAACATGTCTCATGCTATATTTATATGTAACATAATGTAATACCTTTACTGCCTGCCTTAAAAACTAATCTTAAGAGGGTTTTTTGTTGTTGCTGGCATTAATCAATTCAATAGATAGTATGAACGTATACTTTATGGTCCAAACCAGGACAGTTTTAAGATTGAGATAAGGCCACCGTTAATTATGCCATGAAAAACAAGACGAAGTGGGACATATGTCCACCCTATCAGTGGTTTGCACTTTTCATTTATCACTCACAGTACACATACATTTTGACCTGTTCCTGATATTACTGCTGTTATGAAATCTTAAATATCCTGAAGGATCAAGCACCAGGAATTTAGATTGTTGAGATCAAATTCCCAGATTCTCAGTAAGACATTTAAGTAACCTATCTATTCTAGGAATTAAGACTAATGAGCTAAATTAATTCACTCCAGCTTGACAAACTCTCAGAGGATGTCTTATTTTAAAGGAATACTATAATGTCTGGTAAAGATTTCCATTAGATCAAAGCTCTAGAAAGCGTAATACTGATGGAGAAAACCGTACTCTAAGTTATCTTAAATCAAATCTAAAATTAGAGAAATAAATTTATAGCATATATTATTTTTTAAATCGATGCTTCTCATGGAGGGACACTACCTTTTGTTCTAAGTCAAAGAAATATTCCTTTTTCATCTTGCATAAATTCTTATTTATTGTGGACAGAGAAACTGCTATTTCCAAAGCTGGTTTCTCATCCTCAAAACAAAAGTACTTTTAATTACTTTGCCTCTTCGTGTTCTTTCTAAAATTAAGAAGAATCAAAAGAGTATATATAACAGTAAAGTAAATATCTCTTGAGTGTCTTAAGTTTGAGAGTCTCACATTTATTGATAACCTGAAGTGAATAAGATTAATTCTGTACTTACTAAAATATAAATAAATCACACTAACTGAACTTCAGAAAACCTGACTTTTTTTTTTCTTAAAATGACTTAATTTAGCTCAATTTTATATACACATACATTCTGAAAAACTCAAACTATTTGAAATATAAACTAAAACCATCTAAAGTTAGTTCATAAACAGTGATTATACTCACATTTGACCTACAACACCATATTTTCTATAAAGCTAAAATAATACAATCTAGATTTACAGAAACGTTTGAAAGAAAGCATTTTATTTAACATAGTATATTAATTATATTAATTTACCAAACAGCACTTTTACAGGTGAAATAAAGGTTTAATACCTACCTAATATGCAGAATACATCAGCAAGAATGGAGGGCATATCTTCACGAAATTCCTAATTATAAAAATATAATTACTCATAGTAAATACATGAATAGCACACCAGCAAGTATGGCTTCAGAATAACACTCTTCAGTAAAACTTAAAACCTAACAAAACCCCAACACCACTATGTTGACAGATAATAAAATTCTTCAAGTTTCATAATACAGAGAAAACAGAAAGAGGGACATAACACTTCGAAAAAGATGTTTAAATGTCTACAGTGAAATAACTTCATAAAGAACAGAAACCTAAGCAAGCACTTCAGGAAATATTAAAGAGCACAAATGAGTGACATTTCTCCAAAGAAATTCATGAAAGAAACCGCTGGAATTTAGAGTACCTTATACCTACCTAAAACAAGACTGTTAAAAATGGTACATTTTCATCTACAACTTTAAATGTTGTGCTCATGCCTGAATCAACAACAATCCAGGCAAAAGTTCTAGTGGTATTAGAACAGAAATCTAAAAAATACAAAAACAATCACAAGCTGTCGTTCCAGAACTAAAGATTCTTTGAAGATGAAAATAATAAACTAAATATCTATCTTTATTTTCTTTATGCACTGATGTTTGTAGCCTTTGGAGAAACTGCCCCAAATTTCTCCCCTCATTTCTAGATGAAAACTTCAACATTTATTCTAGATTTGTCTCTTAACTTTAGTAAGAATGATAGCTCAATCATTGCAATTAGCTTGCTAGCACTATAGCAACCCTTAAACTAGCCTATTTTCAGATACTAAAGGAAAGAAGTAATTCTAACGAAAAAACTGGCAGCTGTAAGAGACACACAAGATATGCCTCCATGGCTAAGATATGGGGCAGTGAGATACAAGACTATGAGAAAGCCAGGGCAAAGATTCAGCTGCAGAAGTGTATGTTAAGGACTCAAAGGAAAGGGGAAGCTAAGTAAGAACAAAATACATATTAATTTCTTTTGGACTGATACTCATTTTCAAAAAATGGGAGAAAGTATTAGAATCAAATCTATAAATACACTACATCCTATACCAATGTCCAATTTACAGAATGAAATAAATTTAACTGCACACCAGACTTCAGTCTTAAAAGTTTCTTAAGGGCTATGAACTTTCACTAAGTCTACTTGAATGCAAATACTCAGGCTACACGAAGACCAGAAATGAGGGAGCCAGACAAGAGTTTTCAACATGGAAACAGACTACTCCAATAGGAACTAATTCTGCTGTGGTTAAATAGATACAGTTTAGAGATAAAAGAGAAACTGATATTGAGCCTCACTGTTCAAATACACTTCAATATGCAGGGGGGAAAATAGAAAAAGGCTACAGAAGGGGCGCCTGGGTGGCTTAGTCGGTTGAGCATCCGACTTCAGCTCAGGTCATGATGCCACAGTTCCTGGGTTCGAGCCCCACATCGGGCTCTGTGCTGACAGCTCAGAGCCTGGAGCCTGTCTTTAGATTCTGTGTCTCCCTTTCTCTCTGACCCTCCCCTGCTCATGGTCTCTCTCTCTCTCTCTCTCAAAAATAAATAAAACATTAAAAAAAAATTTTTTTTAATGGGGGAAATTCATACTGGTATCAAGAAGCTCCAGGTCTTACCTCACTGGTACTTATTATGAAAGCTGTTCTCATTTATTTATACAAGTTTAAAACCAATCATAATAATAACAGAATAATATACTGCACTTAAGTGAAGAAACTTAACTACTGGTTTACAATAAACACCCTTACACTTGAGAGCTCATCAAACAATTCAAATACCAAACACCCATGAAAAGTATCTGGTCTGAATCTAACTTAAATTCTCTAATACATTAAAGAGTGAAATAATAATAATCACCTAAAAAAGGTTAGAAAAAAATCTATTTATTCATATTTTCTAACACAGCAAATACATGAAAACTGGCATCAAGTATTAGTTAGAACTATGCAACCTCAGGGCACCTGGGTGGCTCAGTCAGTTAGGCATCTGACTCTTGATCTTGGCTCAGGACATTATCTCACAGCTCGTGAGTTCGAACCTCACACCAGGCTCCATGCAGACAACACGGAGCCTGCTTGGGATTCTCTCCCTCTTCTCTGTTCTCCCCTGCTCATGCATGCTCTCTCAAAAATAAATAAACTTTAAAAAAAAAAAAAAAAAGAACTATGCAACCTAAATTTAAAATAATTTAGGGGTGTCTGGGGGGCCCCATAATCGACTCGATTTCAGCTCAGGTCACAATCTTACAGTCGTGAGATCAAGCCCCTCATTGGGCTCCAAGCTAGGCGTGGAATCTGCTTAAGATTCCCTCTATTTCTCTTTCTCTCCCACACCCTAATCCTCCCCACACATGCTCTCTCTAAAAATAACAACTGGGGGTGCCTGGGTGGCTCAGTCGGTTGAGCGTCCGACTTCAGCTCAGGTCACGATCTCACGATTTGTGGGTTTGAGCCCCGCGTCGTGCTCTGTGCTGACAGCTAGCTCAGAGCCTAGAGCCTGTTTCAGTTTCTGTATCTCCCTCCCTCTCTGACCCTGCCCTGCTCACACTGTCTCTCTCTCTCTCAGAAATTAAAAAAAAAAACAAAACACACCTATTTATCATATAATCATGCTTAATAAAAATATTTTTTAAAAAATAAAAATAAAAATAATGACTGTAACCCTCAAGTTTTAAAATATATTTAATATCTAAACATAACCACAAAAGAAAATGCTTTGATATGCTATATTGGAGAAAAATATTCTAGCCAAATTATTTTTACAGTAGCATTTTTAATTAGGTATACCTTGATTTCATTACAGTGCAGGCTTTTTTCTTTTTTATGTCCTCCCAGTTTACCTAACATTTTCTTCTTTACTCACAACCAGACAAAAAGATGAAACCTCTTTAGTTCCGCCTAGCAAGAATGGCTTACCAATACTGCCTTAAAACATTCATTACTATAATTCTGAATAAAATGAAACGCAAGTTATATACTTTAGAGATCTTTGTATCAAAAGCAAAATATGTGGGGCGCCTGGGTGGCTCAGTCGGTTAAGTGCCCAACTTTGACTAAGGTCATGATCTCACAGTCCGTGAGTTGCAGCCCCGTGAGCCTGGAGCCTGCTTCGGATTCTGTGCCCCTCTCTTGCTCTGCCCTCCCCCCAATCATGCTCTGTCTCTCTCTCTCAAGAAAAAATAAACATTAAAAAAAAATTGTAAGCAAAATATGTAATTATTATTAAGTTAAAAACATTAAATATATACATATATACATACTTACACTAATATCATTAAGAACATTAGATGCCTGTTCATGCTTTAGATTTCCTTTAATGACATGGTATGACAATTCATAAAGAGCCTGCTGGAAATCTGTTGAACATAAAAGAAGAAATGTAAGAACACAATCTCCTGAACATAAAAAGTAGACCCTCTGAGGAAAGACCTCTCTATTTCCTACTTCTCAGAATTGTAAGTATCAATAAGGACCAGAAAATAGATTTTTGATGTTTTTCTCTAGTTTTTTGTTTCTTTTACTTTCACAAAAACACAATACTAAAAGTAGAAAAAAGCTAACCTGGACTCCACTACTATAACTACTGCTTAAACATTTCCTTCCAATCTTTTTCTACATGTCTACATATTTTACATATTTGTGTCCACAGTGCACATCATGTGGTATTCTGATTCCCCCATAAACATTTTTTAAAGTATTTTCTCATGCTACCAAAGTCTCCAAAATTATTTTTAAGGACAGCATAGAACTCCAGCAAGTGGATATAAACTAAATTAACCATTTATTTCACCACCAAATTTCACAGACTTTTAAAAATATATTCAGATTATAGGCAATTCAATCTCAGGGCTACACTGACAATAGGTAAAGAATAATAGTCAATATAAAATCAAGTTTATCCATATCCTACGGTCAGAGAAATTTCTCCCCAAATCTAGATCTTTTCTATTTTCATCAGAATGCAAACTAAAATAATTGCATACGTACACACATAAAATGGCAGTCTTGTGAGAACTGTCAATCACAAGTAGTCTCATTTGCTATTACCATAGCCTCCTCTCCTAGAGGAGGAATTTGGGGGCCAGGGGGGAGTTAATGGTCAAGGGAATACCTCCTTCTAGCTATATTTTTCTTTAGTCGTATACACTGAAAACTTTACTGCCTTCCTCTCATTCAAAGTAGAAAAACAGGGGCACCTGGATGGCTCAGTCAGTTAAGCATCCGACTTTTGATTTCAGCTCAGGTCATAATCTTTCAGTCTGTGGGTTCAAGCCCTGCACTGGGGCTTCACGCTGACAGTGGGGATCCTGCCTGGGATTCTCTCCCTCTCTCCCTCTCCTCCCCCTCTCTCTGCACCTCCTGTGCACACGCGTGCACTCACTCTTTCTCTCTCAAAATAAACTTTTTTAAAACGTAGAAAAACAATTGTATGGTGACAAATTGTATGGTGCTTGTGGTGAGTATAGCATGTATAGAGTCAGAGTTCTTGAATGACTATGTTGTACACCTGAAATTAATGTATGTGTCAACTACAAAAACTGAAAAAAATAGAAAAACAAGAAGCTCTAAAAACAGTTGTAAAATAAAGTCAATTTATAATCCCCTTTTGAAGGGAATCAAAAATTTTTCAGGGCAAAATATCAAATACTTAAAAATCTTCTCCCTTGGGTTTTACTAGTCACAAAAAAGGAAGAGCAAAGAAATCAAAACTTATATCAATACCCCTTTAAACAACTTTATTTGTGATTTACAATTATTTTACAATGAAATAAATTTGTCCATTAAATTATTTGCTAAAGAAGTACAGCCAGAGTATCCCAATTCCTTATGAAGAACTCATTATTAAACATGGTCTAGCACCTTTTTCATAAATATGCCTTCATTATACTTACAATGAACTGTACAAAAGCTAAAATGCAAAGTAAAAAATTTGTTTGTATGGTAGACAGATGAGGTCAATTTCATGCTTTCAATTTCCACTAACAAAATGCTTTTACAACAAATAATATTCATTTAAAACTTATCCAGGGCACCTGGGTGTACATGTTGGGTATAGAGATTACTTAAAAATAAAATCTTGGGGCACCTGAGTGGCTCAGTCGGTTAAGCATCTGACTTCAGCTCAGCTCATGATCATCACGGTTCAGGAGTTCAAGCCTCATGTAGGGCTCTGTGCCGACAGCTCAGAGCCTGGAGCCTGCTTTAGATTCTGGATCTCCCCCTCTCTCTGCCCCTTCCCAGCTTGTGTGTACATGAGCATGTGCACGTGCTCTCTTTCTCTCTCTCTCAAAAATAATAAGCATTAAAAAAACTTCTTTAGTAATAATAAAATAAATAAAAATAAAGTCTTTTAAAAATTGGCAGGGACACCCAGCTGGCTCAGTTGGTGGAGCATGCAACTCTTGATCTTGTGGTTTTGAGTTCACACCCCCACGATGGGTACAGAGATTACTTAAAAAATAAAATCTTTTAGGGACACCTGGGTGGCTCAGACAGTTAAGTGTCTGACCTCGGCTCAGGTCATGATCTCATGGTTCATGGGTTCAAGCCCCACATAGGGCTATGTGCTGACAGCTCAGAGCCTGGAGCCTGCTTCAGAGTCTGTGTCTCCCTCTCTCTCTGCCCCTCCCCTGCTCATGCTCTGTCTCTGTCTCTCAGAATTAAATAAATGTTAAGAAAACAAATTTTAATAAAAAATAAAATTTTTAAAAAACTTCAAAATAGGGGCGCCTGGGTGGCTTAGTCGGTTAAGCGTCCGACTTTCGCTTAGGTCATGATCTCGCGGTTCGTGGGTTCGAGCCCCGCGTCGGGCTCTGTGCTGACTGCCAGCTCAGAGCCTGGAGCNCTGTTTCAGTCTGTGACTCCCTCTCTCTCTGACCCTCTCCTGCTCACGCTGTCTCTCTCTCTCTCCTAGAAATAAATAAAACATTAAAAAAAAATTAAAAAAAAAAAACTCCAAAATAAAGGACCGCCTGGGTGGCTCAGTCAGTTAAACGTCTGACTTCGGCTCAGGTCACGATCTCACGGTTCATGGGTTCAAGCCCCATGTCAGGCTCTGTGCTGATGGCTAGCTCAGAGCCTGGAGCCTGCTTCGGATTCTGTACCTCCCTCTCTCTCTCTGACCCTCCCCTGCTCACGCTGTCTCTCTCTCTCTCTCAGAAACAAATAAAACATTTTTTAAAAACTTCAAAATAAAAAATAAAGTTATTCAGGTAATTAACTTAAAAAAAAGCAATCACTCTTAGAAGGACAAAACAGCTGAGCATCATAAACAAAATTCCCGGAAGAATAGGGGTTCATTAGGGGCTGAGGGAATACTAATCTTATTCAGAGGAGATTAGAGAATAGCCCAGGTCATTTTGCTGACAGTAAGTGACATAAAATAATCACAATGTCATCCACAAAATAGTAAAGACAGTCCCCAATTCACATGTTTTTAAATATCCATTTAAGTGGTTAGAAAAGTCTACTGTACTTTAGCCAGAGAAAGAAGTGGTACTGTAAGATTACCAAGGCTAACCCCACAAAATCCTGTAAATTCCACACTAAAGTTGAAAAACATTACATTTACAATGTGGAAGAAAACCTAACAAACGTTTTTACTATACTCAAAAATAAAAGATTTTATCCTAACGCTAACATTTCAGAGAAAGTAGGGAAAAACCCTACTTTACTGATTTATTGTTTTAGTATTCTCTGCACCCAGCGTGGGGCTCGAACTCATGACCTGGAAATCAAGAGCCATATGCTCTTCCGAATGAGTCAGCCAGGTAAATGTAGTTTTAAGGACAGCCACAAGTAAAGGGGACTTCTAGAGATTCTTAGATATTCTTTATGGGCTTTGAACACTGAAGATGCTAGTTCTTGGTTATATCAGGAGGATTCATGTTTATCACAAATCATTACAATATCATTTTACTGGAGGGAAGGGACTTATACAAAGGAGCAGTCTGTGCAAGGGATACTGCCTCCCTCAAATTCAAGGGAGGGGCAGAAAGGGAAAGGGCTGAGGGAACACTACCCAAACTCAATCCCCCTGAGATAGAATGAAATTCTGGAGAAATAACATTCAGTTAGTTTCCTGCATAGACTACCAACTGAGGCCTTTAGACCAAAGCCTGACTGTTGGCAGAGATGAGCCTTCCTTCATATTGAGGAGGCATGCAAGGGCAGGGGAAGAGAGCACTGGCAATTCAGCCAGTGGGGCCACAATCATAACTATCTTTGGTTTCATATGTGAATCAGAACAACCATACAAGTTAACAATAATCTGGTATTTATTAAAGATCCATACAGTCCCATTTAAAACTCAAGAGTCATCATCCTGTGTTACACTATTTATAGTTTTTCTGAGAATTCTTTCTCTTATTTTACCCACATAAGATTTTAATCATAAATAAGACCAAAGTTAACTGAGAAGTTATAAACTTGTTTTAAACATAGGGAAGGGGCGCCTGGGTGGCTCAGTCAGTTAGGCGTCTGACTCTTGATCTCGGCTCAGGTCATGATCTCACAGTTCATGAGTTCAAGCCCCACATTGGGCTCTGTGCTGAGGGCGTGAAACCTGCTTTGGGATTCTGTCTCTCCTTCTCTCTGCCCCTCACCCGCTTGTTTTCTCTCTCTCTCTCTCTCTCTCTCTCTCTCTCTCTGTCTCAATAAATAAATAAACCTAAAAAAAAAACATAGGGAAGAAAAAAAGTTAAGTACTTTTAGAAAAGAGTTTGGTTGTTTTTTTTTTTTACTTTCTTACATTTCTGGCAGTCAACTGATTTATTCAAAAGAAAAGGCATTATAGCAACCTCAGAAATCTTTATGAACGATCATGCAACTTTATAAGCAGGATAAATTGGAAAATAACTGGGGATGTGGGCTAGGAATGTTAAGTGTTAAAACAGGTCTTACCCAAATGACAGGAAAAAAAAAAACGGCTAATTCATTTGTTAAAAAATGCTTTCCACTACAAAAATACAAACGTTCTTTAAAAAGTATACAGTCTCCTTCTCTGCCTGACTTACAAATACCATATGTTTGCACGTATAGGAGGATTAGGAGGAACTTGACGGAGGACCAAGGGGGAGAAGAAGGGCGGAAATGGTGGGGGAAAGGGAGAGAGGCAAACCATGAGAGACTCTTGAATGCTGACAAAAACTGAGGACTGATGGATGTGGGGGGGAGGGGGGATGGACATGAAGGAGGGCACTTTGGGGATGAGCACTGAGTGTTATGTAGAAACTAATTTGACAATAAACTATTTGTAAAAAAAAAAAAAAGTATACAGTCTCATATTAATATTTAATTTTTGATAAAACAAAAGTAAGTTTATCCATAAACATGGCTTTTAATGGTCTATTCACAAAGACATAATTTAAATAACTGTAATGAATATTATTCATTCTTTAAAATAGATTATGGTTATAAATTATTTTTTCCAGACTGTAAAAATGTATGGGTTCTACCCTCAGTGACAGCTACATATGAAAATGCTTTAAACTTACTAGACATAAATGCTTTTGTTTTTGCCTCTCCTTTTCTAAATCCAGTGCCTGATTTTAAATTAATGTTAAAATAAATTGTAAAATCCTTTAAAATTTACATCCTGTTTAATTACATTTTACTTAATCATTCATACTTGTGATATGCAGTAAACAACTCCTTTGCTTTTAAGGTTTTCCATGACAACTGCCTTTAATAAGATCCCCAGATACCACCTAAACATAACCAGCTTTAGTAAAAACACAACCTCAGTTTCTGGAAATTTCCTAGTGCAAACAAGATCAGAACAGTTTTTCCAGGCTAGCTTTTCTCTTCTGTTTATGACTGATAGTTAGCCTCTGTAACTTTTAATACAGCTAGCAACTGCTGATATTTAGCTAAATATACCATGTCGCAATTCTAAAAGCCAAGCAACATGACTATTGTGCAGATCAAATAACATCCATATACAGAGATATATAGTCTTACCATAACTATAGTTTTAATCCTAACTATAATATATTCACATAAAAGCTTTATATAATGTGAACTATCTCAAACCTTTTGTTTTTAATTCATAACAATTTAATAGAAAACAGGATATCTATTACTGTTGACTAAACCAAAAATAACAGCTATGATACTTTTAAAAGTCTTACCTCTGTAAGTTGAACTATCATGGCTTTTATTTTCACTGAGGATCCGGCATAAATGCAAACTAGAATAAAATAGAAATAATCTGTATTCATTTCCAATCCTAATATAGATGATCCTTATAGAGCAAATTATAGCAACTAAAAATATTTGGAAACGTATCAGTATGTTTAGATCCATTAGTTTATAATGAGAATAAAACAAACCTAAAAACCCTAATTGGTCAGAAAGTGGAGGATGCTAGTGAATCACTTCATTATTTTTGAAAAGTGGTAAATAAAAGAATAAAAATCAAGCACTTATTCTGCTTTTCACATATGAACCAGCAGTTGATAAAAAAATGTCTCCGTACTGAGGTATTTCAGCTAATAAAGAAGGAATAACAGAAGAACATCACCATTTTAAGATTCCTAATAAATTAAAGGATCTAAGTAAGCATCTATCAAGAGCTGTTTACATCACAAAAGACAATCAAACATTATGTGTATCCTGATCCTGATGAAAGAATACACCAAGCCACCTATGAAGTTGTCTTTAAAAAAAAAAAAAAAAAAAAAAAAGCCACGAACCTCAATTCAGGTTCAGACTGTGGAAAACTCTACAGACATTGACCCAGTCTCTTCAACACACTGCAAGGAAAACTTAAAGATGCTGGGGAATCCTCAAGGTAAAAAAGGCTTAAGAGATGTGTCAATCACAATTTTTGTGTTTTTTTTTCCCAATCACAATTTTTGGATCCTGTTTCAAACAAGAATTTTTTTAAATTAACATTTCTGAGTCAATTGGAGTATTTTATAAAGATCTTATTAATTCTGTAAAAAGTGATCTTTAAAAGATAATGCTGAAGTATTCACAGATATAATAGTATTTACTTCAATAGAATGGGAAAATGGGTGGGGTTTTACATGAAACAATATTGGCCAACCGTTGAGAACTACTGAAACTGACTAATAATTTCATTGGTATTCTACTTTCTCATCTGTTTGAGATTTGGTTCCAAATAAAATTAAAAAAAAAAAAACTGAAAATTGAAAAAAAATACTTGTATTTTAAAGACCTCTTTATTAGATTTAAATATTGCAAAGAAGGATAGATACACAGAATACAGTGAAGAGATATGTTTAATTGAAATTCCAGAAAGAGAGAACGGGGAAAAAGCATATTTGAAGAAATAATAGCCAAGAATTCAGTTTTCTAAACCAAAGTGAAATCCACAACTGGGCATACCATAGTGAAGCTAGAGAAAACCAAAGACAAAATCACTTAAGCACCTGGTGGGGGGAGGTGAGGGGGGAGGTGAGGGGGGGACTATCTTCGGGACTTCTCAACAAGAATGATAAATGCAAGAGATAGTGAAAAGATACATCCAAAATGCTAAAACAAAGTACCTGCTCACCTAAAATTCTATACACAAAAAACATAGTTCCAAGAAAAGGCAAAATAATGACTGAAGTTCAGACAAACAATAAATGAGTTCATGCACTAAAATAAATACTTGAGGACACTTTTTAGGCAGAATAAAAATTATCCCAGAGAGAACTTTACAGAGTTGCAGCCAAGAAATGAGGAAAAAGTGACAGGTATATGGGTAATTCTAAATGAATATTAACTGATAGTCATAATAGGGTCTTGTGATATTTAAACATGTGCAGTATTAAATATATAGATATATGGAAAAATAATATTGAAATCCCTCAAGACTAACGTGGGTTTATCCCAAATACACAAACTTGGTTCAAATTAGTTCACCACATTAAAATGCTTCATTCACTAGTTTTTTTAAAGTTTATTTATTCATTGGGGGGGAGGGGCAGAGAGAGCAGAGAGCCAAGCAGGCTCCAAGGTGCCAACAGGAGCCTGAGACCCAGGGTTCGATCCCACAAATGGCGGGATCACAACCTGAGCTGAAATCGAGTCAGACAATTAAACAACAGAGCCACCCAGGTGCCCCACACTAGTTTTTTAAAAAGATCCAAAAATAGGAATCGAAGGGAACAGTTATAATTTGGTAAAGTAGCAGCTCTCACAGTGTGGTTCACGAACCCCTAATCCCCAAGACACTTTACTAGAGTTCTGCAAGGTCAAAACCATATTTGTAATAATACTAAGACTTCATTTCCCTTTTTTGCAGTATTAACACTTACTCTAACAGTTCAAAATAAAAGGAAGGAAAGAATGGTGGCACCTTAGCACATCTCAAAGGCACTTGCATCAAACTGTCTCACTGATTCTTCATGATCAAGAGAAAAGGAAAGCATAAAGCCAGTCCCATGTGTGATGTCACTAAACTGTTTCATTTTATTTTTCATGACCATTCACAAAACAAGAACCAGTTTCACTTAAAAAGGTACTTAATGGAAGTGGCATCAGCAAGATGGCAGAACAGGAAGCCCCAGGCCTGCCTTCCTCCCATAGAGGATAAAAATTACAGAAACACCAACTTAACAACAATATACATGCCAAGTCACTTTATGAGAAATTCAGAAACCGCTTAAGAGACTCCTGTACCGCAGGTGAGCACTAAAACAACTGCATCAAAGCCAGCAGGAAAATTCATGTCACCCTTTCACCATAGTCCCTTCTCTGGGCACAGCACCACACAACGGGGGGGGGGGGGGGGGGGAGACACACACACACACACAAAAAAAAAAACCTCCCAGCTCCCAAATTCTCCCTGGGGAGGGAAAGAGAAGACTAGGCTTTACATCTAACATTCTGACTTGGAGTGGGGGCTGCCAGAGAGACTAGTTTCTTTCCAAAACATCTCAAAGCACAGATAGGACCTGGCGTACGCTAGGTGTCCAAGGCCTGCTGACAACAAAAAGGGAGCTGAGTGGTGAGCTCCAGATCCAGAGAATCCACAGTACAGCAAACAGAAACCAAAACAGCTCAGCAACCTCTCCCTCAGGGGACAAAGAGAAGATTGGAGCATGTGCCCAACGTTCCAGCTTTTGGGTGGACTGCCTGAAGGACTGGTTTCTGTTTAGCCTGACCTAGGGCACTGACAGTACCCAACATACTTTAGCCACCTAGGGGCCACTAAGAACAAAAAAGAGCTGGAGTATGCTGCTACTGCATAGGACACAGATGGACATCAAAGGATGCAAAAGAGTACAAGCTTCTGAAAAAAACTGGAAAATTCCTTTAATATGGAATCTACACACCTAAATCCAAAAGATGTATCCACAGAAAAGGTTTGAGAAGCCCCCAAAACCTATAGCCAGGATGCTTGGTTAAGGCCTTTCCCTGTACTAAGCCAATCCATAAAGACTGGGAGAGAAGAGTGTTTTTTTTCAAATACAATCATACAAGCACAAAATTGAAAGGACATACAGAAACAGGGGAAAATGGTCCAATAAAAACAAAATAAGTCTCCAAAAACTGACCCTAAAGAATTAGAGGTGTATGAGTTACCTGATGAAGAATTTAAAGTAACTATCATAAAGATGCTCAATGAGCTCAGGAAAATGATGCCTGAATAAAATGAGATCTTCAACAAAAGGTTAGAAAATATTTTTAAAAGAACCAAACAAAAAGATTAGTGGCTGCCAGGGGGTTGGGACAGCCAGAGATGAACAGGCAGAACACAGAGGATATTTAGGGCAGCAGAAATACCCTTATCCTATAATGGAGGACACATGTCATTATACATTTATACGAATCCATAGAATGTACAACACCAAGAGTGAAACCAAAGGTAAACTATGAATTTTGGGTGGTTGTGATGTGTTGATATAGATGCATTGATTGTAATAAAGGTACCACTCTGGTGGAGAATATTGAAAATAAGGGAGATAGCTATGCATGTGGGGGCAAGGGGTAAATGGGAAATCTCATTTTTTTCTGTGAACCTAAAATTGCTGCAAAAAAATTAACTCTGAAAAAAATGAAACAAAAAAATAAAAAGTATTAGGGAGGATATAGAGAAACTAGAAACCTTGTGCATTGTTGCTGGGGATGTAAAAAGGTACAGCCACTATGAGAAATTGTATGGAAGTTCCTCAAAAAATTAAATATAGAATTATAATCCAGCAATCCCACTTCTGGGTATTTATTCACAAGAACTGAAATCAGGATTTCAAAAAGGTATTTCTGGGGGCACCTGGCTGGCTCATTTGGTAGTGTGCAACTCTTGAACTTAAGGTCCTGAGTTCAAGCCCCAAGTTGAGCGTGGAGCCTACTTTAAAAAAAAAAAAGAGGTACTGCACTCCCAGGTTCACTGCAGCATTATTCACAACAGCCAAAAAGTAGAAATAACCTAAATCTACATCAACGAATGAATGTATAAAGAAAATGTAACGGGGCACCTGAGTGGTTCAGTTGGTTGAGCAGCCAACTTGGCTCAGGTCATGATCTCGTGGTTCACGAGCTGGAGCCCTACATCGGGCTCTGTGCTGACAGCTCATATCCTGGAGCCTGCTTTGAGTTCTAGGTCTCCCTCTCTCTGTCCCTCCCCTGCTGGGGATCTTTCTCTGTCTCTCGAAAATAAATAAACGTTAAAAAAATTTTTTTAAATGTAACATATACATACAAATGAATATTATTTAACTGTAAGAAGGAATTCCTGTCACATACCGCCAATATACATGAGCCTTGAGGACAGTATGCAAAGTGAAATAAGTCAGTCACAGAAGCATAAATACTGCACAATTCCACTTATAGGAGGTGTATCTAAGGTAATCAGACTCATAGAAGCAAAATGTATAATCTCAGTGGTTGCCAGGGACTAGAGGGAAAGACAAATGGAGAGTTGCTATTCAATGGGTATAAAACTTCAGTTACACAAGATGAAAAGGATCCAGAGATCTGTTGTACAACACTGTGCTTACCCTTAACAATACAGTACTGTTACTTAAAAATGTGTTAAAGCTGTTCTTGTTACTTTTTTTTTTTATCTACAATTTAAAAAATTGTGCTTGGGGGCGCCTGGGTGGCTTAGTCGGTTAAGCGTCCGACTTTCGCTTAGGTCATGATCTCGCGGTTCGTGGGTTCAAGCCCCGCGTCGGGCTCTGTGCTGGCTGCCAGCTCAGAGCCTGGAGCCTGCTTCAGATTCTGTGTCTCCCT